TAGCTCCGATCGCGCTCGTGCTTCAAGTCATCGCGCAATTCATCGATTGCGCGATCCATCTCGTAAGGGTCGAGATGGTGAACCGAATCATCTGGAGGAGGTCTTTCCTCCTCCACCACATCCTTTGGTGGATGCTCACGATGATCAACGCTTTCTAGTGGAGCGTATCTTGAATCATTGTGACGATTAAGGATCAAGGACGAGCTACCTCGTCCAGTGGCGGGGGTATCCACCCTCTTGAAACAGCTGGGAGCCCCGCTCTCAGCTGTTGATGGATGTTGAAGGTCTCGTCCGCCAGTATGACGAGACCCATCCGATGAGTCCTGTGGCCCATCGGTAAACACGCGCCCTAGGCGCTTGTAGACGGATTGCAAGTTTGCAATCGCGTCACGCATCTCAGCCGAGATGTGTGCCCTTCCCCAGGGCGAATTTAGGGAGTACACATCCCTATGTGCACGCTGCGAGTTTTCAACACAACTCGCACAAGGGTATCCCCATGTGAGGCAAGGAATGCCTGCCTCACTTGATAAACAATGCAACCGGTACCTAGCACCGGTTGGCGTTCGCCTCTCGAACCTGAGGCGTGTCGCCTCAAGTTTCTTGAGCCAGCCTTCTCGTCCAAAATTCTTGACGTTTTGGACGAATGCGTTCCACGCAGCCAAAAGCGATGTTTTGTCACGCTTTTGGTTGCTGTTGTACCATCGATGTCTAAGGAAGACATCGAGATAAAAATGTTCCTCAGCGCGAAAGTTCTTCGCGCTGGAACTCAAGCCGTGAAGCTCGGTTGCATCGAATAAGGGTATTCGATGGTGTTGGCCTGTCTCGTGAGACAGGCTATTGATGAGCTGTTCGGGCAAACGCCACGGCTTCAACTCATCACGCTTCACAGTGTTACCCTTTTCGGTACCACGGCTCCCAGATTGACGACGGCTCGCGCCATCGTCATCACGCTCGTGCGAAGACGCACGAGCCGGCGGTGGTGAAGAATATTCCTCACCACCCTGATCATCGTCATCACTGCCGAACAGACTGTGATGCAAATCACGAGTCCGTTCGTTCGGCAGTGGTCTTGGCGAATACTGAGGCGTCGCCGGTGATCGAGACGCCTCTGGAGCATTGCCCGAGTCAGACACGTCTGACTCGCCAGAGTAGATGACCTCCACATCGGGGTCATCGTGCGCACGCGGCGTGATACCGCGTGCACCTGCAGCACCTGTTGCTGCAGGCGAAGAAGGGGCGGCAGACGACGAAGCGTCTGCCGCAGAGGCTTGCACAGCACCAGGCTGTGTGGGTCTTGAGTCACCTCGCATAGACATGTTAACTATGCGAGGTCAAGCGGAAAGTGAATGGAACGGACCCAACAAGTGCTCCCTGTCCCAATGGTGGCCAACGGGTGGCCTCCATATTTTCGATAGTCACACGGTGACTATCAGTTAAGGGGGGTGATGTAACGGGGCAGCCCGTTACATGGAATTGTCACTTTAAGGAAAGTGACAATAAAGAATTTAAAGATGGATATTCTTTAAACAATATCACCAAAGTGGTGATATTGAAGGGTCGACCAAAGGGTCTGTTCATTGGTTGATATCTTGATGACATCAACCCACCAATCGCCGCAAGACGCGCGCAATGAGTGGTGACGAGACGTCACCATACATGCAGTTATATTAGTATAGTTAAGCTAAGTCAAACGAAGAGACAGTAGTTTAAAGACTTAATTATATTAATATAACAGTTCTACTTTTACCCTATCTACGCTTCCTCGCTCGCCAAGTGTACGTCCGTCGGGGCACCCAAAACCCTTGCGTTAAGTTACGCAAGGGTGTTCCCCGTTACAAATACGGTACTGATTTATATCACCTCATGAAGATAATTCGGCCGAGTCGGCTGCTACACATATATAATATGTTAACCACAGAAGCTGGATAGGGTTTATCGCAACATGGCGCTTTAGCGGAACAATTTGTAACATAATTAAGGCACTACTGGACCACCGCCGCAAGTTTTATTCGTGCAATATGTTTGTTGAGAGTTTGATGTGCTTATTACTGACTGATAACATATAAGGGAATGGAGCATGTACGTGGTTGTAAATGCGTGAAAAAGGCATGTGTCAATCCTGTTGTAAAATGTACATCAGCTTGTGCTTTATTGTTATCTTTATATTTGCTACACGTATATTCTTAATAGTATATGCATAAATAATTGATTAGATCTTCGGGTGCATTTTTTACTTTTCTGATTTTTTAGGCATTCTTCATATTTCTGACGTAATTGTGCACTATTATGCTTTCGCGACTGAACCGAAGCATCTTTTTTCCTTTAGCTTATCTCAGTAATGATGTACACACTAGCAACGAAACGGTGTATTGTGATGGAAGGTATGAATCCGTTACAATTCATTCCTACGCCGACACCTACCCTTTGGACCATGGGTGGTGCCTGCACGCAAGATGAGTATAACTTTGAATTGTAAGCATTTACCGGAGGGAATGGCAAACGAAAGTATCGAATGTGATGCCGCCGTGGTAATGGCGTCCAACGCTTGACGACGTTTTCAATATTGCTCCTATCACCTTAAGTCTTGCCGTCGCTTGGGTCAAGGGTGGGCTTGCCGAATGCGCGAATGGACTAAAATTGCGTAATACGCGCACGACATCTAAGATGACTAAATTTGTACGAGTAACACCGCTTTGTCTATTAAGAAGGAAAGGGACGTGAAGGTTTGCGTTTGGCTTCGACAAAAGCTTACGTGCGAGTACTTTGCTCCGAAAACAATCTGTGTACGGCATCTCAACACTAGCTTTAGACCACTTGCACACAACATGAGTAAAACAATGGAATTAATCGTCTATAACATACTCGGACACCCAAACAACGTACCACTCTTCACGACGAGACAAGAACTAATTGCGATGTAGATGCTGATTATTGCGTTTGAACGCTGTCTCTAGACTTGGACGTTTGTTCCACCGAGCAATGTCGATGGCCCTGACGGAGTGCGTCGAACGCTTTGCCTGTGCGGCGATTATCAGTGTTGACGCTGGACTTGCGGTAGATTTTGGCCGCGACGCGACCGCAAACGAAGCGCTATAAGGAGGAGCCCGCTAAGTGATAATTTGCTCGAAAGATCAATTCTCATATAGAATTTTTGCTCACGAGATCAATTTTGGCCAGGCACAATTGTTGGAGAATAGAAAAAATATAATTTGCGTCCGGTTAATCTGTGCGCGAATGTTGCAAAGCCTTTATTGTGCATGCTGCCTTTGCCAAGCACAGGTAAGACATATTTGGTTGGAGGACTGGTGCTTGTACCTACACTGCATTGAGACCGCATTGCAACAGCGTTCAAGCCGCCAAATTAGTGTCGTTCATTCGCGTCTACTTTTCTCCCACCACGTCAAAACCTTCCGAGCGTCACCAGGATTTACACAGCCTCTGACGCTCTCCAATTTTCAAGTTTGGTTCATGTACTATCTGAGCATTCGTCAGACGATCTAGCCTCTGTAAAAAGCGCATAATTGCGGAGCGCACTTGTGGCAAACGACGCTTGCGGTCGTGGGGTGTCGCGAGTTTTTCTTATCTGATAAAGAGGGACAGAGTCGTGCATTGTTGCTGTAAAAATTCACTCTTCGACGGCATGATTGAGATACGCGGACGGTATGAATACGCATGTTATTCGCTCATGGAAGGAAAGCTGTGGTCAGTATGCGTCGCAGCAGTTTCAAAGCCTGCTGGTGGTAGGTTCGTCCTTTGCCGACGGCGGAGCGCTGGGAATTCCTGAGTTGGCGCGAAGAATCCCACCAAGTTCAGTATCCCGCCGTCGGCAAAGACAAGCTTGTCACCAGCATCCTCAGGCTGGCGTCAAGAGCCGTGAAAATATGGATTTGTTGGAGCTGAACGAAAGCTCCATTTAATGTTGACCAAGTGCAGCTGTAGACCGTCTGGATCCACGCAGTCGTTCTGAGAGATCGCCCTAAAGTACATGGAGATGATATAAGAAATGCAAAAAAATGCTCATCAAGTTGTTTCTTCGCGCAAGATTGGCGATGAGCTGTACCTTACGCAATACACCATTAGTCGAGGGTGTAAATCGCATAAGGCTACCATCGTGTTTGGGAAACAAGACCGGTTCGTTGCTTAGGCTGTGAGGGCATCATCACAAGCTAAAAGAGAGTGTTAATCGAATATGACGCTTTACTACTTCTCTATCGGTTTCTGCTCTCCTTTCATTTCTTACGACGGCTTGCATCTCAGCAAAACAAGAATAGTATAAATCACGGCATACATGCACCCTTAAGTGCAAGAGCAGGATTGCAAATGCTGCAGCATTTGTCGCACACGTAATTTATTTCTCAAACGCACGCAATAATCGTAGAATATTGACAGTGCGAGCCGCCATCGTATCTCTCGTTTATAACTCTGATGTGGTGATCATACGACTCTTCGCAACAACTAGTGCGCTCTGCGCTGACAGTGTGGTGGTCATGACTGGTAGCGAGTGACCTTGGTTTTTCTGAATCGAACAGTCAACTAGTCAATAGGGCTAGGCTACGCGAGTCAATATTTTCGGTTTACTCACTAAACCGTTGCCCGTGAAAACGAGTGCATGTGTCAACTTTATCAATTATAGACAAACGACGTACATGCACTCCCTCTTCCATGATCCAGTGTAATAGTTAGATACTTTGCGTTAATCGATGAATAAATTGCATGGCCTTCATGCAATCTCGATTTCTTTGATGCGTTGCAAATAATGACAGAAAGCGCTTCCTTGTATTATACAAAGGTGCGATTGTGTGTACGCTAATTGGCTACATTTCGGAGTCGACAACAAATGCGGAGCTCGCCCTGTGGCTGTCTAGATTTACAACCTGATGGATGTCGCTTCAATGGTAAGAAGTAGTGTACAAAGTAATAACAAGCGGTCCTTACTTCACATTTTACGTTTGCTACCTCTAAGCCCACTATGCCGTTGCGGCCAAGGAGAGATCGCCAACTTAACGCATCACTACGCCAGCTCGCCTTGGCCCGACAATCCCTCCCATGTGTGTACTGTGCACGCCCGCGTCCTTGGTCTGCTGTTTCCTCGACATGCCATCGAAATCATTGTGTGGCAGTCGAGCGAGGTCGCCGGGATGGTTGTCAATGTCTTCAATGTGGAAATCCAGTTCTTCTGCTCCTTTGTTTGGTGCGACATCTTTCGCCGCGTTCTTGCCTCTGAGTGCCCGTTGAAACTCCTTCTTGTACCGAGCATCGTAGTTCAAATACGCATTGAGCGACATCTTATCAAAGTGGTTGTTTGCATCCAAGGACTTTACACCGAGGTATTCGCCCAACGTTTCGGGACGCAATGCCTGTATAATCCACGCAGCGCACATCTCGTCTGGATCCCCGATGCGTCTTATGAGGATCTTGTGTAATTCGGTAGCCGTGGCCTGCTGGTACTTATACTGGTGAAGCGATACCAGCAAACGCACCACATCCGTAAGGGTTTTGTGAGACATCAACACCTTAACTACCTCGTCAGGTGTGACGAATCCGGACCCCTCTGACTTCTTAAGGTGCCGATCCAGCAAACTTGCAAAACTCTTCACGTCCCAAATCGCTTTTTTGGCGAAGTGAGTGAACTCCTCGATTCGGGTGAGCATCTGGCCGTCCTTGCTTACCGCCGAGGTATCACTTGCAGGGCGCAGGGATTTCAACCGGTCGACGAAAGTGTTTGCATCAGAGTGATGATTGATCGGCATGTTGGGAGACGAAACATGGCCAGGCCGGATCGCAATTCCTCGGCTGTAGTCGTGCGATCTTCCACCCCGACGTACAGGATCCAACCAGTCTTCGGCCTTGGACGATTTCGGGTGATTTTTGACGTACAGATTGATGTAATGTCGCCACTGTGACTCAGCAGCTTCGAAATCACTGGAGCTCGAGGTCGTTGTCTTGTGCAAGCCGAGTCCCTTGAGAACCTCATTGGGATTTAATCCCAACTTCTCCCACGCGCCAGACACCACGTTCGGATGATCTGCGAGCTCTACAATGAATTGTCTATGCAGCTTTTCGGCCTCGCTTTCCATGTCCTTCTCCACGCGAAGCAATAGAAGCTCCTTTGCCACTTCTTCCGGGGTCCTGGCGAACAACGTGGTTCTGATTGCCATGTCAGCATTCTCACGCGCGGATCCCGATCCTAGAAGCTGATTGCTCTTCAGCCGGGCTGCAAGATCCGACACGCCCAATTCATCCGCGCTCCTGACAATTTCTTCGGCCTGATGGTTCATATAGGTGTGCGATGAAAGAGTCGGAAAGCCCAGAGGTTCCTTGAGACCGGAAGCCCTAAAGCCTTTCACAGCGTCAGATACATAAGGGGCCGACCTCAATAGCGCTTCCACATCGATCATCCGGTCCTCGCTTTTTATGGCTTCGCGAATATTCTTCGCCACATCTGAGACACCCGGCTCCGCGGCGGACTCGGTGTCATCCAGAGCTGATGAGTTGAGGCTTACTTGAGTGGCGTCGGAAGCAGTTGCACATGCTTGGTTGCCGTCCCTCAGCGAGAGTAAGAGGGGGACACACAATGCCGGTCGCAGAATGCAATGTATGTGCATGACGGCGTGCGCGTGGATGCTTGCAGTTTCGAAAGTGATAAATTTCCGTGGCGCACATTTGCGGTACCAGCGCGTGACCAATCCATGGTTTACAAGCCAAGCCAGACACTTCTACCAACCCCGTTTCTGACCGAGCACACCTGGTCGCGATCGAGAAACCAGGCATCAAAACTTTCTCCGCAGATTCACACGCACCGTGCTCCGGTTATGCCAAATGCTTGACGGATCGACGAAGAACGTTTCACCGCAACCTTAGTCGTTGATGGAGTAGCTTGTCAGTCGAGCAGCCTCCGAATGGCCATGATAAACAGCCAAGTCCCTGAGCCCTCCTTTACCCAGCTTACACGGGGTACTTACGAGAACCGCCATTTCGAACACCAGGCGGAGCGACGCATTGCGGAACTTTCTCTCAGCGGGAGGGGACTGAACACAAGGGGGACAGCTAAACGTGTTGATGCAGAAGGATGAGACAGGCAGATGGTGACGCACAAAATCGGTGCGCGCAGTTCCCTCAAGCTACTTGATCACAGCTCGTTTCGATTGTCGCGAGAGAGGCGATTGGAAGCTTGTGACACTCATTAGTGCTCTCCACGCGTCGATGCTCGGTCGACTGCGTATATCCTCTTGCAGCAAGTTGCTGTTCATCGCGACAGCCCTTGCGCTGAATGCCGTCGCACAAAGACTAAAAAGCCTCTCACATATCATATCGAGATACTAGGAACGACAGGATGGCGTCGGTAATCAATACTCGCACATCCCATCAAGAGTGGAGCTAGTAATCCCGCGTGCTCTTTCCCGCGCCACGATGACGTCGGATCGAATCTGAATGGATGTGTTACTGACAAGCAAGGCCCATACAGCGACGTCCACGAAGTTGTGCACGTCACTTAACACTGATTAGGTCTCACAATCTCTGACGAGGACCTCGAGGTCGAGACTAATATGGCCGGCACGTCTTCGGCTAATTGATCTTATCAATATATTATTCTTATCAAATATATTGCTAACCTTATAACAAACTGCTCAAGACAAGACCACAACTAAGTTGACCACTCTGGTGGTGTCTACATAAAGAGTGCTATCCTTCGCGCAAATTACCGCATCGATATCTCAACGATGATTGATTTACGGTCACATCCCTTCGCAGTGGTCATGTCCTGCCTGTGCAAGTCACTTTCTTGCGTTTCAGAAGGGCTAACACAAAGTAAGTAAGTTTGCGTTACGCGACGGACGAATTTGTTCGCAGCCACTTTTTTGTCTATGTTAGTTTTTGTGTATGTCAATCACACGGCACGTACCACACACTTCTTTTTTGTGGGGTCTATCAGTTTATAAACTGCCTGTAGATAAATGATTTGATAAATGAAGAAGAAGTATCGATATCGTCCACTTGACCATTAATTGTTCTAGCGGTCGTTGTCCGTTTACAATACGCACGTAGAATTTCAGCCCTAAAATTTTAGCGTAAAAAATGAATTTCGAAGTAGCATATAAGATGCACCAAAAGATGTACTTAACTCCGGATAATATCGATAAGAGACGTATTGCCAGATGTACAAAATACATAAGACAATCGTCTTTTTTTAGTCCATCATAAAAACATACAGTATACAAATCAAGCAAAAATTGTAAAACCATAAAAAATAAAAAAACCACCATTTATTTGTAAAGTTCGTCATCACATCTAAAAAAATTCTGCAGTGGACAATAATTTTAGCTTTAAAGCCATAACTTGAGAAACACATACTGCAATCAAAAAATCTTAAAATTAAGTTATGTGTTCAGACTTCACGCTCGCCCCATACATGCTTCAGATCTCGCAGGACACGAACAATGTTTGCCCATCTACGACAATGTCAGAAAATGGATAAAAAAGACGCTTATTAGCTATTTGGTTGTGTAGGACCTGCTTTTTGTTACCCATTGACATATTAGTTTATACCATTGTCGAGAATGACTGGCCAGAACCTTCGGCGCAGAACAATATAACTAAGCATGACGAAAATCGATGTATCAGATTACGCGTATGTACCCAGTTAGAAATGTAGATACATCGCTATTTTGGTATATTGTGCTACACATTAAATATACGTTTGATGCAAGCTATTTTATAGGCTAAGTACACAGTGATACCCGTTGCAAAAATCATTAGGAATCGATATTCGTAGCATCCAAACTGCTTTACTCGATACTCCACTCACGATCACCTTCAACCTCATGGTATCTTACTTGCTTTCTTATGTGTATCCACATGGCCCAATCAAAGCATCTAGCATCTTTGTCGGCTACACGGTATACAGCGTGCTCTTCTCGCTCGCAATATATTCATAGTGCGATCTGAAGTCATCGCAGAATTTTGATCTGTACCAGTGAGTAGAGGCAATCTAAATGTCGCCTTCTGGGGCCATTTACACTTACGTCCCGCTATACATTAAGGTACAAAAAGCACCTATTCTGGCAAGTAATAGTAGCGATACTAAGCTTTATAATATAGAAACAAGAAAAGCAACCCTGCCATCTACGATTTTACCTAAAATTTGTTGGAACTTCTTGCAAGTGGTTGTACAAGAATATTCAGAGATGAGTGTGGTGACTTCAATAGCAACAACAAATTATGCGATTAAAAATGAATCTGGGTAATATAGGCTTTTATCAGTTCCATTCATTACATAACTTGCTTCGATGTCCCGTATATTTTGGACGCATTTTGCATGTTGTCTTACAAACTCTATAAATATGGTAACTGATCCATTTTCTATTTAAAAAGAATAATGCTATACGATGCGGTGGAATTAGAGTGATCCGAAGAACAAATGAGACCATCAGCCTAACACGTTTACCGACGTTAAGCCTTATATACACGAATCGTCAATCAATATTGCTCGTTTTTTAAACACATAGCTCTTCAATTTTCGCATTTACATCATATGTACACCATTTTATGTAACTTACTCATTCGACAGCAACTTAGCGAGTCGTTCATTGCGTCTTCACTTTCGATTAGGCGACGGCGTGTTAGATTATATATTGCTTTACATGGTTATATTCTGATCGATCAAAAATTGTACACATCCGACGCGTTTATTGTGCAAGTGTGGTCGATGCGGAATCTAAAGGATGAAAAAGAGCATGCTTTTGTATTGTAGAATCGCTTTATAATACAGTTTAGCCTCACGAAGACAATTTGATGCATCCAAATTCCTATTTTTATACAGAGACACCGATCTGCAAGACAGTAACATAGAATCAATTACTCATACGAATAGCCGACCTAAACGCTTAAGTGGTGTAACAAGAAATATTCACTCATATGTAAGATTGATGTATCATCATTATATATTAGCCGTAAAGCGCTAGAGTTATTGGGGTAAACCTGATCAAGAAATGGTAAGCTCGGATAGCGCCTATATTAAGTGCGAAAGAAAACATTTTTGTAGCTGAACACATACTTAGTGGTTTCATCACCACTACGCGACCTAAGAAGCCGGATCCTGCTTCCCAGAATATTTTCGAAATAGCAATGATGCAGACTAAAAATCAATATGAGCTTGCAAGATCGCAATCGCAGATTCAATGACGAACGTTACCTGAATAGTAGGGGGCCGTCACAGAGACTCTTTATTGACATACTAATGGAGTGTACAAAGAATGGTTGATGTATCTAAGTAGCTGTGAGAGTAGAATTAAAAGAATAATCAGATTACTTTTAGCTGCGAGAGAAGGACAAAGGGCATTGTGTTGAATGCAACCCATCAGGTTTGTACGTAAGTATTCAAGCTATGACGATACATATACCGCTTTATAAAGTATAATATCCGACGAATTAAAGATACAACTTTTTATTACAAGCAACACAGACCGCAATATCCTGACCCAAGGAAAATCCACGGCTGAACATTTATCGTTGGTTAGTTTAAATACACTTTAATGAATGTATTTTAGGTATCGCAAATCATATTCTTTGTCCGGGATCGATATAAACGGCCTCTCGAAGTTCCTAAAGACCTCAAACGCATTGGTTCTCAGTAGTATCATTTAATATATGGCCAGGTGAATAGAAGGCCTAAGACACCGCACTTTAGTGCGCGTGGACGCAGTACACCACAAGTGTTTACATACAAGATCGCAAAACGGCTCGAGCGGTAATCAGGCAAAACGATCATCGAGCAAACGTCGAACAATATGATCTCAATAAAGAAAATGATACCTTAAATATAGGTCTATATGGCACATACGCAAAAGAGAATATATTCCCGTTTGATCCACAATTATATACAAAGACAAACAAAGCATGTGATCGAGGACAAATATAGGTATACGCTCGCTCTTCTGATGCACAGTTGGCAAATTCACTCTTGAAATGAATGTTATTGATACTTGTCCATAAAAGAAGGGATGTGAGTCTGATTGGTCCCGGAAATTACTGGATAGTGTAACTGGACCTCGATCATATTGAAAGACATTCAATGACAATGGTTTCGATTTGAGACCAGGCGCTTCTGTCCTAGGGTCTATGTCGATTTGTTGTCCTTTTTTAATCAAGATCAAGGTGTATAATTTGTAAAAAAATTAATTGATGGAAAGGAAACAAATGCAAATATTGACCATGTGACAGAGAATTGGATGGTCGGGATAATGTAATGTAGCTGAAATCGCAATTACCCGACCTGACCGATCTAAAATATTCCTGATCTAATCACGCAAACTAAATGGTGGAATTTTTTTCATTAATACGTGGAAAGACCGTGTGTACCAACGAAGGACTGATCAGAGTTGTGTCTAATAACACCGTTCACTACATGGAAACGGATACTTGAGATCACGGTGTGGATTCGTAAACCAATATCGAATGATTGTTGATGGTATAAATTAATTTTAAGGTGCTGTAAATGGGTGTAAACAATTCACTTTACGATTCGCGCTGTATTATTTTATGATTGCGGGTAAAAATTGCCCGGATCAATAGTGAAAAAACTATCCACGTACAGTTTTCTAATAGA